TGAACAAGGGAGGCCAAAGAGAGTGTGTGCGAGGGCTGCTCTACACACCTTGGCTCCACGATGTACAAGGGAGGCCAAAGAGTGTGTGCGAGGGCTGCTCGACACACCTTGGCTCCACGATGAACAAGGGAGGCCAAAGACAGTGTGTGCGAGGGTTGCTTGGCACACCTTGGCTTCATAATCAAAGGCTTATGATAATCAAACAGGATACGCTGAAAGTGTCCTATGCCAATCATGAAATGTTATGTAAAATGAGTAGAAAATCGATGTGAATGTATATGTGAATATTGATGTGTGTGTACATATAATGTTTAGATATTGATCTTGGAGAGGAAGATGCTTAGTGTCTCAACTCTGAGATTCATAGTATAATTTCTTTATACAGGTTCCTTGATGATCTTGACAATTGACGATGGGAATAAATTTAACTGAGCGAAGCAGATATCAATAGCAAATTTAACACAAGACAGAATAAGGTATGAAACATTAATATAACTTGCACTAGTATAGTAACATGTTTAAATTGTTCGATGCCGAAAGTATGAATATTCACAGTCTGTCTCAGTCCATTGTACACCCTGTTGGTGTGGGTTGTAGGCAGACGATGAGACATGTGTGGTTCTGTGTGGTTTCTGGTTGAACCTCTAAAGAATGTGTCAGTATTTGGTAGTAGTTAATATACTTCATTGCACTAAGTGTAAAGATAGAATAAGACAACCACAAAGAATGCCCACAGAGTCTCTTCGCGACAATACCCGTGGGTCATACACGCTTCTAGTTTGGCAATACGAAAGTCAGGTAATTGCTCGACTTGCGTTCAGTCGGGCACGCACGCTCTCTCGCCGCGGCTACACTTCGCAACAACGTGTAAATATTCTACGTTTCTTTCAGACAAATGGCCCTGTGAGTGTTATGAGATAGTACACAAAATACACGGGAACTATTAGTAACAAGAAAAACGTGTCATTTCATTTGTAAGTACAGTTTTAAAGAAATAAATGTTAATTCATTTTGACAGTTGCTCACCGTTGAAGTTGAAGGCTACAAAGTGAGATGTAATTGCTTTATGAATGAGAATGAAAGAGACTACTTCAGTGCGCTCTATTGGCGCCTGTTGCCAAGGAAAGCTAGGGCGGGGACTACTTGTGCCATTTTAAAATGCAGTAATGTTAGTGTATGACCTGGCTATATATTATTCGTCAATTACAACAATATTAAATACAACGGTATTTAATATCGTTGGTCAATTAGTATATACTCGTAGATATCTTAAATGAAAGATTGTTCACTTTTTGCTACAGCGTGAATTTAATCAATGTTCCTTGAAACTGAAAGGTACGCCACGTGCAGCTGTTAAACATTGGTAGAGAAAATAAAAGATATGACACAAATGAATGCCAAATGAATGGATCATTTCCTTAAATTAATGAATAATGCCTGTTGTCAAATAAGATTCGCTATTGTATGACATACAGTTTGTCTATAAAGTCGTGACATTAAATGATGGCGCCACTAGTGTAGCAACCCTATACACTCTGACCAAAATGATTTTGATACTAGCAGTTCATTCAAGTAAAATAGGTAATTAATAAGACACACTATACAGTCGTATTTTGTTTGTTTTATATATAGTAGGTACCTATGCTTATAAAAAGTTTAATCAAGCATATATAATTGAATCAGAATAAAATTATTATACATAAAATAGTACTTTATAGTGTAAAAGTGTGTAATGTTGGTGATTACCGCTGAGGTGCCATTGAGACCAGAGCCGTTAGGTAATCATCAATACACACAAGTATCATCATACGACGTTTTTTAACACACTTGTTAAGAAAATAATACTAAAAATCATTTTATAGTATATAAAAAGTTTATTTAGAGAAACAATAGGGAAGATGCAATATTTTTATTTTTGTTTTCATTTTAAAGAATTCCATGTAGGATAAACCACAGATATATTAAAAAATTAAAACATTGTGATTTATCGGAAAAAAATGCGGTTATAAATTGACAATTTAAATTTTCGCGCGAAAACGAACCTATGGTTGCGATGACGTCACTCCTGTCTGCCACTGGTTGTACTTGTTCGTCGCTGGCTTTAAATTTTCATACTTTTGCATAATTTTTCGACTCTCGAAATATTTTTTTGAAAAATTTTAAATGGACTATCCATCAACATCATGTGATCATAACAATACCACTAATATTCCGAAAAAAAGCCGTGTTGACTCATGTTTTGTGCCAATCTACTTCAACAAAGTTTCCAAATAAATTGTTTTTGACTGGAACTTCTGACCCAAAACTGAAAAAAAAGTGGTTTCAAGCTGCGAAGAGAAATGACAATTATTCTCTAAAGACCATTATTCGATGCTGTGAAGATCACTTTGACGTAAGTCGGCGAATATACTTGTTATATGCTAAATTAATCTGCTTTTACGTAAAAACGCATTAGTAACCTACCTAATACATACAAAACCTGTCTATAACATATTTTTAATTTTACAGTTGGAGAATGAACTCGACCTTTTACTGTACATAATTCTCCATCTCTTTTAATTTGGACATAGCCGATTGCATTATCGCCGTAAGATTTGTAGAAGCCGCTGAATAAAATACGAAGTTTACCAACTACGATTTTTACATACCTTAGTAATTTAGTCCCTTTCATTTCTACACTTAAAAACTCTGCACTTTGGACAAAAAAAGTTATAACCATGTCAACACTAACTCTTGGTAAATTCCTGGAGTCTGCTTTGATAAACGCAACTTCCATTTTTATGAAATGTAAAAAAACGCAATTAATATTCCCATAAAATAATATTTACTTTAACAACCATAACCACAGAGAAGTTGTCATAACAGGAGTGACGTCACTAAACGCTGATTGGTGTTTTAAAATACGTTCTGTTTCAAGTATTTTTAATTCGTAAAAATTGTTAAAAAACAACATTATGTAAAATAAAAATGTTGCAGTGGCATTTCTTTTATATTTTTTTAACATTTTAATCATAAAATTTTCGTAAATATCATATGTGCATCTTCCCTATTTGTAAATGTGCAGTTAGTAAAATAGTGATAGGTATCTTCACTAAAAGCATCTGGCCATGGTATGTGACCATTTCTTTCTTTGATCGGCCTTGCCTGTTTTCCCAGGAGTTTCAAACTTTCCATCATTCTTAAAACCTTCGTTGACTATCCGACTCTCTGATATTCCTGAAAAAAAGTAAAAAAATATGTAACGGAATAGTAACAATAACTTATTCACATGAAGCAATTAATTCAAAATTGGTAGAAAACCTGACCGAGTTGAACCATAATAACGTATCAAAAGAAATGGTCGTACTACAATATTACCTATTTACAATGTCAATCTAACCTCAAAATGTGCAATGTAAACGATGCCTTTTTTAGTCTCAAAATCGTAAATTGAGTAAATTTGTAAGTTCATGCAGATTACAAACAAATAGTTACACGATTACATACCGGTCATAGATGCTGTTCGCCCATAAACATCATCCAAATCCCACAAAATTCGTCCAGCTTGGTAGTCTTCGAAACAGCGCTGGAAAACTTTAAAAATCCCTTCCCACGTGCCACTCCGATTTACTTTACTCATTTTTATACCTTTCTGCGTAGTTTCGTCTTAATTTATTACAGTTTAATCCAAACAATAAAAAATACAAAAGGAAAACTGTTCCACAACTGAAACTCGATGACAGCTGATGTACATAAGTTTGGTGTTGCCAGACACATGAATAATGTTAGTTCCTCAAACATTCATGTCAAGACTTTATAGACAAACTGTACTGGTATCGATTCTGGCAGGATTCTCTAAACTTTAAACTAAATTTAAGATCAGTCAGTCCTTTTCATTCTGTATAGAGAATGACAGGGATACACTGGTGTCGATTCTGGCGTGATTCTCTAAACTTAAAACTAATTTTAACATCAGTCTCTCCTTTTCATTCTGTATAAAGAATGACAAGGATACAATGGTGCCAATTCTGGCGAGATTCTCTAAACTTAAAACTAAATTTAACATCAGTCTCTCCTTTTCATTCTGTATAGAGAATGACAAGGATATACTGCTGTCAAATTTAAGTTTAGGTTTAGAGAATCATGCTAGAATCGACACCACTGTTGTCAAATTTAAGTTTAGGTTTAGAGAATCATGCTAGAATCGACACCACTGTTGTCAAATTTAAGTTTAGCTCTAGAGAATCATGCCAGAATCGATACAATGTCGATACCAATCAGATTTGTGTAACAGATTGTTCATATAGCATACTATAGCATCGCCATAGGTCTAAATACTCAGAGGATAATTATTATCGACAGTGTAATATGCCCCATTGATACATGTCTGCCTGCAACCAAGGAAGTTTAGGTATATAGGTACCTAACTTTGTTCTCAGTTCTCCTTGCCTGCAACTCATAGAGGATCGTATCAACGAAATTTATAATATCGTTGACTTTTATATACCTACTGGAACTGGAATACAAGGGAGCATGCTAGGGAGTGTTAGAATTCGGTCCGAAAGAGAGATCCAATCTGTGGGAGTTTTTCTCGTTCTATTTAGAATGACCCGATGATCAATCATACGTCTAATTAAGGGAATATATTTTGGGTGAATGGATATTGTATGTACCCTAAAGAAAACAAGATAGTTCTTCGATTCGAACTAAGCAGAGGCCCAAGCACGAATTTTTGACAGCTCCGTAACGTATCGCATCGTCAAGGATTATTAAGAAAATTTAAAACTAAGCAGCGTACCTATCGGACTTAAGAACAAACTAACTTTTTCATACAAAATTTGACAAGAACGATACGTTAAGTACCTATAGAGCTGGCAAAAAATCCTATTGAATAGGTAAAAAGTCATTGTCGTGACTCGATTTACCTATTTCTACAAGATCGATTTATTCAGTTCGGACATCCCTAGGGGGTACATAATCTCTGTTATCTTATCTGTGACTTGAGGTACATTTTGGTATATATTTCTCGATGTACCCATTCGTGGTTGTGATGGTTGAATATTTCCGCAATTATTCTGATGTTATTTAAAAATCTGTCAGGCTTTTGTTTAAATTGTGCAGTTCTATGAGAATATTACAAGTTATAATTTGATTTGGATTAACCAACAAAATGGCTAGTGTCTCATATCAAATTGCTAATCTTCTTGAGAAGGTGAGCCGGCATTTGTTACCAAATTTTCAGGATTTCATTTGGATTCTATGCGTTTAATTTAATTTACCTCTCACAGATGACATCTAACGATAAAGATTTCCGATTCATGGCAACAAATGATTTGATGACGGAGTTGCAAAAAGATAGTATAAAACTTGATGATGACTCTGAAAGGAAAGTGGTAAAGATGTTACTACGTTTACTTGAAGACAAAAATGGTGAAGTTCAAAATTTAGCTGTAAAGTGGTTAGTATTATTTAATTTCTAAAGAAAAATAGGCACCTTTGTTATTTTCCACATTTTAAGGGTTTAGCAGTACATATTGGCTTGTAATATGTAACCAAGTAACGTATTTGCTATAGAATCTTTCTTTGACTTAAAGTTTAAATTAATGACTTTAAACATTGTAGTTATTACATAAATGGTTTCTGTGTGTTATAAAAATACAATCCAGCATTCTTACCAAAATTCAGTGGTCTAGTCAAAGATTATAGTGTGAAATTTTATTTCAATTAAATTTTATTAGTGAACTACAAAATCATTTCCATAGGTACTAAATTTATAATTGATTAAGGGCTTTGTGAGATATTATTAATGACAGTAAGACAAAAGAAATGAAGAAAACAATGAAATATTTTCATTTAAAATAATGGACAACATGACTTGCATTTTTTCTCCTAATGTAAGTATCTAGAGGCTTTGTGTTTCGGAAACCAGGGATGACAAAGATCTGGAAATCCCAGATTTTAAACAATTAAAAAATCTTAGTAGTATAATTGAAATGACATGCAAGCATCTTGTAAAATTAAAAGTAATCATGTGGTTCTGTTAGAAGGAATTGTATTCATAATGCAATGCAATGAAGTTTGTTTCGTGCTATTGCATATTATAATAATAAACAATGTTCTGCCAACTTTAATAGGTACATTGGTGTTGATTCTGACATGATTCTCTAAACTTAAAATTAAATTTAACATCAGTCTCTGCTATTCATTAAGTTAAGGGTACACTGTTGTCAAATTTAAGTTTAGGTTTAGATATAGTATTATAAGTTATGTAAATATTCCTCACAATAACCTGGTTTCCTGTGTAGAGGCTATATGAACTAGGCTAGATATAACATGACAAACAAAATATTTGCTGTCTAAAGGTACATAGGAAGGTGGTGTAACCAACGCGTAACTTAATATTACATTGTAATTTATATTCAACATTTAAAAGTCAACACTAATTAATAGGTGATATGGTCTAAATCAAGGAGTTATGACATTTTAGAATGCAAGTTCATTGTAAGGTTGTAATTATTTTTTACTTTTTTCTGAAGGTGATAAGATTAAGACTAATTCTTTGACTTTAGGCTAGTTCCGAATGCTATAATTAATATTTATTCTATTCAGTCAATTAAAACTATGACCAAAAATTTTATATTTAGCAACAAGTAGCTACTGCTCTTTCTTGTTCTTCTGAACACAGTCGAAGTTCTTTCAAACTTCGACTGTGTTCTCATTCCACACTCGCATTCGTCTTTGCCATACTCTTTTAACGGAGAGAAAGGTCTCTTTATAAACTCCATCAGCTGCGTTAGAGTACCTCCTGAATTTAAGGCCCTTAAACCTGGTCATACAAGTAGAGGCAAAAGCAGCAGCCGTGAGACTAAAGTCTCTGGGCTACTGGAGATTAAAAATGAAGTAATGCAGTTGTCTAACTGCATTACTTCTTTTTTCTTTTTTTATGGCATGCACGTTTTGTGTGTTCAGCCAATGTCAAGTAAAATACTGTGGTATTAGGTATGCATTTAATTATGTACATTATTTTTTATTTAAGAAATTATAGAAAGGTTTAGTATGATATTAACAACAAATGTGTTGAATTAACAAAGATAGGTTCGGTACATAACAAAAATAAGATACCCCATCCTTTTTTGTGTGCACTTTGGCATCTTGTGTTTACAACGGTCCGCGTGCGACTGTGAACAAAAAGTGCTTGGCGCCGTCAAAGTACTTCTTGCTTGGGACATTTTTTGGGCATTAAAAATAGCTATTGAAAAAATGCAAAATTTCTTTTGCAGTTTAGGTCCTCTGGTAAATAAAGTTAAGGAATATCAGGTGGAGAGTATTGTAGAAACACTATGTGCCAACATGCTCTCTGATACAGAGCAATTGAGGGATATCAGTAGCATTGGATTGAAAACAGTAATATCTGAGCTTCCATTAGGCTCAAATACACTAGCTGCTAATGTTTGCAAAAAAATTACTGGACGATTGAGCAGTGCTATAGAAAAGGTATGTGTTGTTTTGAATACAATAATGTTTAGTTGTAATTTTTATCCATCACTTTCGGTGAAGAACATTTATATGTTCGAACCTAAATTAAAAAATCGGCAAAGTGCGTGTTGTGCCACGCACAGTGTAGGCTTCCGTAGTTGCCTGTAGTCACCACAATATATATAATTTAAACCAATTAACATCAATCTAATTATCTCAAATACCTAAATCAAAGACAAACTGCGTCTTAAACTCAAAAGCAATCTCGATTTAACTTTACTGTTATAGTTTTCTTTAAAATGAAAAGCAGTATTATCATGAATTTTTCCAGGTTTTTGAATTCATTAATTAAGCTTTTTGAGTGAGCGGGGGCCCGCCCTATTCGAACAAAAATTAGCACATTAAAGTACAATATTTTCGCAAACAGATCCCTAAATCGAAAAATAGTCTTAGGAACCCCAAGTTTAAGTCAGCAGGACTAGATGGTATATTACCGGCGTTACTACAATGGCAACTCGGTCAGGCAATTAGATACCTATAACCAATCTTTAGGGCCTGCCTGACCTTCAAGTACATACCAAAACTATGGAGGGAGGCAAAAGTAGTCTTCTTACCGAAACCGGGCAAAGACGATTATACACAAGCAAATCAAATCAATCAAAAATATATTTGATTTCCATCACAAAAGAGATTCATAGTTTGTCTTGTTTTGCAATTTCAATGTTGTGGCTCCTCTATTTATGATCAACTGGTGCCTGATATAGGTTTCAGCAATAGAAACCTGTACAAGACTTCCACGGTAGGTACAATACCATCGGACAGTTGAAATGTAAAAATTTTTTGTTTCACAGCATTGAATAGAAGAAAAAAATAAACAAATAATAACAATAACCTATTTTATGTAATAATAAGCTATTCTATTTAATAGGTAGCTAAAACACTATACAGTTTCTAAACTAATAACCAAAATGTGTGTAATGTTTGACTTCCTTCATTATGTGTATGTCCTTTGCAAAGTTATGCGTTCTGCCCTTCAGATTGTGGAAAATTGGTTGACAAACATCACTTGTCAGTAAACCTCAATAAGACAGAGCTTGTCCTTTTCACCAACAAAAGGAAGCTACCCGAACTACAGTTACCAAAACTGTTTAATACGACTATCAACACATGTGAAATATCTTGGCATAATCCTTGGTAACAAACTGAATTTGGCGAGTCATATTGAATTAAAAACAAAGAAGGCCTGTATAGCTTTTAATCAGTGTAGAAGACTAGTTGGTAAAAAGTGGGGTCTTAGTCCAAAGATTACCCTTTGGTTATACACAGCAGTTATCAGGCCCTCAATAACCTACGGTTCAGGTGTTTGGTGGCCCAAAACCCAAGTGACCACAGTGAAATTCAAACTCCAAAGTCTACAACACTTGGAGAGCGTAGCAGCAACTGGATGCATGAGAACAACTCCATCGGCTGCGTTAGAGTACCTCCTGAATTTAAGACCCTTAGACCTGGTCGTAGAAGTAGAGGCGAAAGCAGCAGCCGTGAGACTAAAGTCTTTGGGCTAATGGAGATTAAACACTGTAACAACACACTCCAATATTCTACAAAAGTGCATGAAGGAGAAGGAGAACACGTCTTTGATCGAAGATACGACATTCAACTTACCGCGGAATAGGCAGATTACTCTGGGGCCGGAGAATTTAGGATATTCACAGATGGCTTCAAAACCAACAGTGGTACTAGAGCTGGATCAGAAGTGCCCCCAAATGCTTTCTGAAAGTGTGGAAAATGATTTATGTCGCGATTACATTTCGGCGTTAGCGTTAGTCACAAATCATTCCTTTCAATTAAATTTCATAAAGAAATACCAATGGGTGCAGAATTTTGCGGCCAGATCTCAGGCTAATGTGGAATTCGGACAAACAACTAAGTATAAACGAACAGAGTCGAGTAGGCCCGTAATCTGACAGTTTTCGTTTTGGTTACCCTGGCCGTCTTCCGTCTAAATCGACTTCGAGTAATAATAATGTCAATATTACTTCCGGTGCTCGAATTCGAGTAATGTCTTTCGTGCACCTGATGCGTGCACCAAGTGTAAATGCGCCTTTAGAACGTTGATCTCAACTACTGCATTTTTAAAATTGGGTTGCAATAATAATATTATTTTTTGTGTGTAAATTCATGTTTGAATCGTGTTGCAGCAAGAAGATGTCTCTGTGCAATTAGAGGCCTTAGATATTTTGGCAGATCTTTTAAGCAGATTTGGTGGTTTACTCATATCATTCCATCCACTACTGTTAAACTCCTTATTGCCTCAACTTGCATCACCACGCCAGGTAATTATAAATATAGATGTTATTTTATTTGACTTTTGAATTTATGAATTATTGATGAAATAACTAAAATCTTCATAATGTTCCAGGCAGTGCGTAAGCGCACCATTGTAGCATTATCACACTTAGTGATGTCATGTAATGCATCTCTTTACAATAAACTAATTGATCATCTTTTGGAAGGGCTGGGATCATCTACATCGTCAAGCGTCAGTCGTACTCACATTCAGTGCATTGCTTCTGTTTGGTGAGATATCATTTTAAAACTAATTATTAAAATACAATTACTGTGATTTTTTTTAGCATACATTAAAGTGTAATGTAAGCCTACACTGAAATATTTCTACATAATTGTGTACATTGTACATCCAATGGCAAGGAGTTTGTCAAGTCTGGTACATAAGTCTGCTGTTAGCGTTGCCAGATTTTATTTTTTCCAAGTCGGGATCTATGAACTTTTTGAGTAAAAAAAGCGGGATTCTTTCGTCGAAAGCGGGAAGATGGTAAAAAAATCAAAAGTGTTTGAATATTTATCTTTTTATTTGAGTTTAAATTACATTTACGTAACAATAAATAGGTACCTAAAAAAATATCCATAGAAAATGTATTTGAATTAAAATATGATATTTTTAATCAGTGAGTTCTTCATTACGCGCCGGGCAGGTGGCCAGTCTACACTTGTCTGTGCCACCCGGGCTTTCGCAGTACGCTGCACGCACGGTCGAGTTGTTCCCGAAAAGCAGGATTGAGCCTGTCCCGCGCGGGACATTTAATTTTGTTTTAAAAATGGGGACTTTCCGCCACAATCGGGACGTCTCGGCAACGCTGTCTGCTTTGCAAGCTAACGGTATATGATATACCCAACGATTTATGTTCCTCGGTATTTATTTTATCCAATTGCTACCCACACCTGCGTATCAAGTTTAGTATGTAGTATTACAACATATGCTTGTGATTGGGACCCACCTCCAGACCTTGACCAACGGCAATACAATCTTTTTACCAAAGTCATCCGACCGTCACGTCACGTCTCACCGTTCAATCAAAATGTGGCTTAAAAACAAATTCAGCAATGCGGACTTTTGTGTGGGTTCTCTGTGGCTCTACCTCTTTTATAAAACTTAAACCCATGATAAATCCAGTAAGAATATACCTACATAATGAATAGTACATATAAAATACATTACAACATTTTACAGCCGTCAAGCTGGAAGATTCGGTGAACAGTTGTGGCGTGTTGCACCGCAAGTTTTAGAGCATTCAACTGATGCTGACGAGGAATTGCGTGAACATTGCCTTCAGGCTCTGGAGGCATTTGTTCTTAAATGTCCCAAGGAAGTACAACCTCATATCCCAACAGTAAGATTCTTAATATAAAATTATTTTAAAGGGGAGGGCCAATGATTCGTTTTCGTAGTCAAAAAAAAAAAGAAAATATTGTAAATCGTTTCAAGATGAAAAAATATATAAACGAAAATAGACCACGACAATCTTTATGTTCTTATTTGAAGTCGGCATCGATAAAAAAAGTTATTTATGATATTAGTGCGGTAAATTGCTTATTACAAACGCGTAGACTCACGAGTTTGTAAGACCAATCCGCACAAATGTCATACAACGTTTTTCAACACCTTTGCGAGAAAACAATTTTTAAATAATGAAGTAAATTTAAAAAAATATGAAAATGGCGTCTTTTCTTTTTAGTATTTAAGTAAGACATAGATAAGACTAAAAGCGCTTCCGAAGGAGGTTCGATCGAAACAAAAAAAAAAGTACGCACGGTGCCATGGTATGGAAGCGTGCGTAATAATTATTACCGTAATTTTGAACTTGTGAACAATGTATACAACCTTCGTAAATTCATTTTTTGAGAAAATTTGTTGAAATAGTTATTTTCAACACATTGGTAGATATAGGTACTGTTTTCTCGCAAATGTGTTGAAAAACATTGTATGATATTCGTGCGGATTGGTATTTACAAACTCGTGCCTATGGTAAGTCTACTCGTTTGTAATAACCAACATACCACACTTGTATTATAATAGTTATCTATGATAAATGACTATTGTGATACAAGTGAGTACTCGAATCCCCTTTTCGACCTCGAATCCCTTTTCACCGTCGAATCTCCTTATCACCCTCTAATCCCGTTTCACGGGCCAATCCTCTATTCACCCTCCAATCCCCTTTTCACCTACCAATCCTCACTATTACCCACCAATCCCATATTATCACCCATCAATCCCCACTATCACCCACCAATCTCTTATTATCACTCACCAATCCCCGTATCACCCCCGAATCCCTTTTCACCCATGAATCCCTTTTACACTTCAAAATCCCCTTTTCACCCTCCAATCCTTTTAACCTACCCATCCTCACTATTACCAACCAGTCCCCTATTACTGCCCATCAATCCCCACTATGACCCACCAATCTATTTCACCCTCCAGTCCCCCTTTTCACCCTCCAATCCCTTTTCATTTACTAATCCCCACTATCATCCACTTATACCCTATTATCATCCATCAATCCCCACTGTCACCCACCAATCCCTTATATCATCCATCAACCTCCACTATCACTTTCCAATCCCTTATTAGCACCCACCAATCCTCTTATCACCCACCAATACCCTATTACTACCCATTAATCCCCACTATCACCCACTTATCCCTTATTATCATCCATCAATCCCCACTGTCACCCACCAATCCCTTATTATCACCCATCAACCTCCACTACCACCCTCCAACCCCTTATTGTCACCCACCAATCCTATTATCATCCTCGAATCCCATTTCACCCTCCAATCCTCTTTTCACCTACCAATCTCCCGTGCTCATTTAGTTAAAACAAATAAAAAAAAATGTTTCACAATTATGTTTACATAGAGTAAAGTCTGCATGGTCTTCGGTAATTGAACCTTAGCTTCAATTCACACCGGATTGGCAGCGACCCGGCGAACACTGTCTCAGTGAATGTTGTGTGTGAAATATTTTTAAACTTTATCTATATAGTTATAAAGACCAGTATCGCCTGAAAAGCTTCTGCAGCGTCGCTGGGGGTCGCGGAGACTGCGCGGGCGATACTGGTCTTTTAAGTGTGTGGATAAAGTTATAAATTATTTCACACTGCTTTGAGTGAGAAAGTGAATGACCCCAAGGAGGTTCGTTTTAAAAAGTCCAAATGACTACATGGTAGGTATAAGTTCACATTACATTTTTTTTCCAGATCATAGATCTTTGTCTTAAAATGATCACTTACGATCCGAACTACAATTATGAAGATGAAGAAGAAGACGGTGGTGGTGAAGATGAGGAAATGGAAGACGAGTCATTTGCACCTGAATGTGATCCAGAGTCCGATTCTGAAGAGTACTCTGATGATGACGACATGTCTTGGAAGGTGAAATTTTATGTTATGAATAATAAAAATACAAAAAACGCTTAAGTATGTTGCCTTTTCCTATTTTTTTAAACATGGTATATGGTCACATGACTTTATTGAATAGTAAATTTAAAATGCTCTCTTTAATCATGACTTCATTCATTATTGTTATCTTTAGATTGTAAACACTCATGGTTTTAGGTGAGGCGTGCTGCTGCTAAGTGTCTGGAATCAGTAATAGCTACACGTCATGAACTGTTACCTGAAATGTATCAAACTGTTTCTCCTGCCCTGATTGCGAGATTTAAAGGTATTATGTAGATTTTTGGAAAAGGTTGTTAGATAGATTTATTTAATCCCAAACTAAGCAGAGATTTTATTTTAGAAACTAAATAATCTTTAAAATGCAAATATCTAAATAATTATGTACCTTTGGGAGCGCCCGTCTAGGGAAGTAACCTCCACCTTACAGAAGATCACAGTAGAAGAAAACACTACCTTTTGGTGGTGTTGTTTTTCTGTCGGTGTCGGGTCGGTTCGCCTCCCTAGCGCGTGTTTTGCCCTTTGCAATCCACAAAAACACATTAACATTCAACAAAGTTGTCTACATAAAACTTTGTTTCACTAAACATATTTGTTTGCCTCAACAATTTTTTTGCTTTCCGAGCTCGATGGAAAACATGTACACAACTGCCCTCCCACGCGGGTTGTTTCATCAGTCTTTTTTTGACAACTCACTTTTAGCGGGGGCTCCGTTCCAAACTCACGCTCCGCGTACAACTTTTTACTCTGACGTTTCAATTTTGACTAATGTACGAAACTTTTGTCAAATTTGACATTTGTTGCACCTGGATCATAGTTTTTGAACTTAACCCTGTGTATTATGTGTACGGCAGCCACGTGAACAGTAGACGGCGTGTGAATAGAGACATGGTTTAGAAACAAACGTTTGAGTATGTGTGTTTTTTGAATGTTTTCGAAATCTTTTTTGGAGACCCGGCTTTAGTAACCATGATGATTAAAACAATATAAGTGTTATTATTTTCCATGTAGAACGCGAAGAAAATGTTAAATGCGACATACTTAGCGCCTATACCGCGCTTTTGCGCGCCACCAGGCCTCCACCTGCACTGCAATTGTCCATCGCGCCTGCAGACAACTCGCCTCAAGCTCTGTTGCTGCAAAGGGTAAGCTTTCAATGGTTGTATCAGTCCCCGTAGCATGAACACCACAATTAACATTATATCACGTTTTTTATCGCGCCTAAATTTCAAACTACATAGTGTCTTGACAATTGAGCGTGATACAAACGAGCTATGTCTCATATCACAGTGGTCATGCTAGGGCACTGAAGTATTAAAATAGTTTTCTGTAATATTAAGAATTTTTATTTTTCAGACTGTCGCATGTCATAGCAAATGGGCGGTATATGTTGGGATTTATCCCCTACCCTATCCCTTTATTAATAAACAAAGAATAAGCTTGGATTGGTTACACCATGTTTTGTCTTTGATCATTGAATTAGAAATGGCATTTGAGTGATATTCTTCACCACGACAACGCGCCCACGCACTCTGCTATCAAAACGAAGGACTTCCTGGACACACCAATCAGAGTCTTGGGACACCCTCCTTACAATCCTGATCTGCGTTTTGGCATCGTGTGGCTTCTTTTTATTTCCTAAAATAAAAATCAGCTCAAAGGGATACAGTTTTCATTGCCGGAAGAAGCGCTAGCAGCGTTTGAAAAGGCCGTTGAAGAGGTGTCTGCGGAGGACTGGAAAAAATGTTTTGAAAATTGGTTCAGACGCATGAAACTTTGTATAGAGGCTGGTGGAGAGTTCTTTGAAAGTTAGTTTTTTAGTTTCTCAAAACTTTCTGAGTGTTCCACGTACCGTCCTAAAATCCTAATTAAAAACTGTTAAATAAAAAAGGTAAATTTAAAAAATCAAAAAACTCGACTGCGCTTTTCTTTTTCATATGTAATCACATCGCAATGTGTTGGCAATAGGTGCCTGGCGTAGTGCGTGGTGCGTTGCGCGTGATCCGCGGGCGTAGTATTCGCGCTCGCGGTTGCGCATTGGCTCTTCTACGGGAACTGCTCGCCGCCGCGCCCGGCTGCTTAGCAGATCACGCGGCGCGCGTGTTGAGGGCTCTTACGCCGGCGCTCACGTATGTATTTTTTTCTTTAGTCTGTTAATATTCCCATATCTTCTGGCTGCAGTGCGTTCTGGGCCATAACGCCAGTGCTTACGTATGTATCCTCTTCTTCATCAGCCCATTAATGCCCCCACTGGTGGGACACAGGCCTTCCTTTAAGTGGGCGCTACTTGCCTAGCGGTGGCGACACAACATGTGCGATTCTAACTTATTGGCACCTGTGTATTGTTATCAAAAGTTGCGGCGCTGTAAACAATATGGAGTTTTACTGAACTGAAACCTGCGCATAGTTAAGAGTTACACTATAACACATTCACGTAACATTACACCATTCACCATCATATATTTTTTTTCTTAATATCTTAATTTACTAGGACTTAATTTATTATTACGCACCAGTTCAAGCGTGAGAAAACTGTAGTTATAAATCTAGCTGATACAGTAGAGAAACGAGACACTCCAATCTATGTTTTAACAACCTTTTGTGACTTTTTATATCTGATTACGGATTTATCTTCTTTAGGGACAAGAGTACAGCGTCGTCAATGAAGATAGAAACTTTGGTATTTGTCGTGTGCCTTTTACGTGGCCATCCGGCAGATACGATGCGACCGCATGTGGCGACTCTGATGCCGGCGGTGCTGTCGTGCGTTCACGACCCCTTTTACAAGGTCACCGCTGAAGCTCTGCGCGTATTGCAGACGCTCGTCAAAGTCATGCGACCCCTCGGTGAGTCTATACCTGAGCTTTAGGGACACGATGTGGCCGACTCTTTCTACAAGGTCACCGCTGAAGCTCTGCACGTATTGCAGACGCTCATCAAAGTCGTGCGGCCGTTCGGAGATTCTATACCTGGGCTTTTGGGACACGATGCTGCTGACTCCTTCTACGAGGTCACCGCTGAAGCTCTGCGCGTATTGCACACGCTCGTCAAAGTCATGCGGCCGCTCGGAGATTCTATACCTGTGCTTTTAGGACACGATGCGGCCGACTCCTTCTACAAGGTCACCGCTAAAGTTCTGCGTGAATTGCGGATGCTCGTGCGGCCGCTCGGTGAGTCTATATCTGTGCTTTAGGGACACGATACGGCCGACCCCTTCTACAAGATCACCGCTAAAGTTCTGCGCATATTGCAGACGCTCTTCAAAGTTATGCAGCCGCTCGGTGACTCTATATCTGTGCACTAGGGACTCGATGAGACGAAAGATTTTAGTCCCTCTTAGGTTATCTATGCAATTTACCAGTAGGTGCTCGGGGTTCGGATCTGATCTCTTGAATAAATGGAATGATAAGCTGGTGGTATGTACAAATCGGTTCATAAGATGACCACAAATGGTGGCCGTCTGCCCATGTGTACTCCTGAATGGCTCTTTCGGCTGCGTCAATGCCACGAAAAACGAATGGCGACTGAGCGGCCTATCACGTGAAGCGCGAGCACCAATGGCGTCGCTCCGTCGTAACGCATTCCGCCCGCGCCGCACCCCGCACCTCCAAGGGGACCTAAAATGCCTTTTGCGTTGTGGTCATCTTTCATGAACCGTACCATGGAGGTTAGAGAGAAGGAGAACGATCGCTACGTACTAAAGCATTAGCCTGCCCCTGAAAATTTGTAGAATTTATAGTTCATTTTTCAGCCACCATCCGAGCTGCTGTCGGTAAGTAGTATCTGTGAAGTTAGCTGTTTATGAGTTCAAGTAGATGAAGTTAGTTGAATATTGTACAAATTTTCTTCGCGGCATTGGTCATTTCAAATTAGACCGCTGTTATTGATACAACTTAGCGATCGCCGGGCGTCACTTATTTTGTCCATATTTCTGGGACACTATTTTATACAGCGATCGTTCTCCTTATCTCTAACCTCCATAAACTGTACTGTACATTCCTTCTCGACGTTTTTTTTTTATTTGAAATATGTCTTCCACAAGCAAAATAGCAGCCTTTGCATATTTCGATTTCTTCGAAGCACAAAACCAAGTGTCAATATTGACTTGATAATTTCATATTGACAGTTGATCTTAAACTAGACAGACACATTTATTATCTTGGAGCTAGATTTCACGGATTTGTTTTTTTTACACAGATGCCCTGGATAACGTTGAGAACTTAGACGAGGTACATGTGGAACCGCCTCCGCAGGAATTACAGCAGTTTATTCCTGCAATGTACGAGTGCACGCTCGTACGACTTCGAGCTACTGACATGGACCAAGAGGTCAAAGAACGAGCCATCGCCACTTGCGGACAACTTATATGCCATTTCGGCGATTATTTACAGGTGAGGAAAATATATATCGGAAATATCATATTGGTAATTGTAAACATAATCTAATAATCGTAAACATAATCAATCAAAATCATTTATGCAGTTTAGGTTGTTACAAGTACTCATGAATTTCTAGAAGCTATAGACTAGGAAGCCTGCGCAGCTAGTCATAGACTAGGAAGCCCGTGCAGTAGAAATGTTACATATAAAAATGTTTAATGCGCACGTTTATTTGTCTGTGTGTATGCTCAATAAGTTTGCTGCGACCTCTAACAAACCTCTTTTGTGAGTAATTCATGAGAGTTGAGACTTTTCAGCTGTATTATATCCATACTAATTTTCTAAATGCGAAAGTCTGCCTGTCTGTCAGCATGTTTCCTCTTCACGCTGAAACCGCAAAAACGATTAAGATAAAATTTGGTACAGAAATATTTTGTGTCCCGGGGAAGAGCTTAGGATAGTTTTTTATCCCAGAAATAAACCTTTATAAGGGGGTAAAAAGGGCTGGGGAAGTTTGTATGGGAAACCAATTTTTCTATGCATAGAAGTCGCGGGCACACCCACTTATAAGTAAATATCTGTTAAAAAGATTGTCCTACCTTTAATTATTTGTGTCACAGAAATTGCATTGTACAATAAATTGTTGCAGAATGAACTACCCGTGTGCCTGCCAATATTTCTAGAACGTCTACGCAACGAAATAACTAGGTTGACTACTGTCAAAGCGCTGACTAAAATTGCTGCATCACCATTAAGGATTGATTTAAGGCCCATTTTGGTAAGATTATAAGAATGCAATATTACTCGTATTTATATTGTTATGGTTTTAATTTAGACTTACTCTATGTTATTTATTTTCAGTCTGATGCAGTGCCTATCCTCGGATCGTTTTTACGTAAAAATCAAAGAGCGCTTAAGCTGTCTACACTTGTGTTGTTGGATACTCTCGTTCAAAATTATAGTAATTCCATCAGCATAGTACTTCTTAGTAAGGTAATTATGTAATTGATTATTATATAATAAAAACTACCGATACTTTAATTTTATTACATTTACCCTTACTGCCATTCGGCTCTGGAATGCACTTCCTCAACACCTGCGAAACCCTCCAAACAAGACTGCGTTTAAGACTTCGGCGCGGGAACATTACTTTAATCTATTGGAAAGCGCTTAAGCTCAATCAGATTACTATAATCGGACACTGTATAATTAAGTATATGTATTTATGTATGTTTTTTTAAGTGTAATATATTATTAGATATATAGGGTGAAATTGAATGTTTCTATGAAACTTCGTGAGATTGTTGGGTTACGTGTATAGAGTATGCCTGATTTTTTTCGTTTTTAAATTTTTTATTTGGTTACTTTTTTGTCATTTCTTCCTTATGAATAATTATTCATTTTAAACACGTCTACATAGAAGTTGTAAAGCAACTTAAAATTAGCACTCCTAAAAAAACGGACACTTAATGAATGCCTCCAGTCGAGATCAGCGCCGGCCAGGAGCGACGACCGGCGGCCGCCTGTGTAGGTACCTACTACACGCACAGATGACTCGGCGCTTACCTACTTTCCGCTTTGATTCCATACTATTTAAAAACATTACAATAAAATGGTCTTAGATGCTATATTATAATTATTTATTCACTGATACACAATACCTTTGAATATTATTTCATAAAGCACAGGTAATTAATCAATAAAATAAATCTTCTGTTAGAGCAATTAAAAATCCTATAAAGTTAATATGACTGTCACGATTTTAAATCGGTAAAACCTGTCTGTTAGTGTAAGAACTTCTTTTTTATTGTTAATGTTGGTTGCCTCGTTTAATTAAAACTTAAGCACAAACGGCTTATTTAAAATTGGGAAAAATCATACAGAGCAAATCGGTATAACTTACGAGCTTAGTGAAGGAAGGAACTCTTCGTGTCTGATTTGCCCACGTCATGAAATTCCGAACACATTTAATCACAGCCACAGTCACACACATAATAATAATTATGTTGTTTTGCGGCAAGCACGGGCGGGCGGCGCGCCGCACGCTGGCAAGAAACATGCGGCGCTAGCGCCGGTTGCGGCGTCTTTTGATGATGTGAATTCTGCCCACCTCCCCTCTTCCCCGCACGCAGTGCTTTGCTTTGATTGCATGCAAAGCGCAGTCGCAAGTATATCAATCGCGCGTGGGTGTGCGCATCTTTTGACTTAGTGACATACACTATGATAATTTCATTATGCCTCGGTATACGAACCAAGAATATTTAGAGATGGTGTACTGCTATCGCGAGTGTGACGAAGTAGGTTTGGTTTACGAATGAGTCCCCAAACCATAGAAGTTAAATTTTGTGCAGTGAGTAGTGATAGGGACACTTTAAAAAAGATGGAAAGACACGTCCGCAAACGTGCCTACCTTTGTTTGCAGCAAAACTAGTGTAAATACTTTTTGATTTGAAACAACTAATTGTGTACTACCAGTGTGATTGATATGATAAAAAGTTCTAGTGAAAAAAATGAATATGTTCCTCGTTCCTCGTTGTACCTACCTACATCGCCGGTCTCGTAAGTACTTTTGAATACCTGGTTATAAATTTCATTCTGACCCAAGTATTGAACTGCAATAAGTATTTCTTTTTGTTTAACATTTGCCTATTTCCTACCGTGACAAAATTATTATTAACTTTTAAAGTTTTTCTCTGCTTAAGAGAAGATGACATTTGTGCTTATTATTTCAATTTTAATAAAGGCATCTAAGACGATTTTATTGTATTGTGTGGAATCAAAGGAGTCAGATGAGCTCTGTGTCTGCGCGGTCGGTCGTTGACCCGCGGTGGAATTTAATGTTTTTCCGTTTTTTTAGAAGTGCTTATTTATAGTTGTTTTTCACTGGATATGTAAGTTTGTTTGTTTAAAATGAATAACTACTCAAAAGGAGGAAAGGACATAAAAATACACAAATTATAAATAAATACATGAAAAAAATATACTTCAAAAAAATCCGAAAAAAATCAGGCATACTCTATACACGTAACCCAACAATCTCACGAAGTTTCATAGAAACTTTCAATTTCACCCTATATATAGGATATGTATTTGTGTATGTGTATATATAATTATATTTATGTTTTAATTTTGTTTTTAGCATTGTTTGATGTTAACCTTTTTTTTATTCTTTTCCGTTATATTCGCTTAGCACGTTCTTTCCGGTTGACTGGTAGAGAATGCCATATTGGCATTAAGTTTGCATATAAGGCATTAAAGATTAAATAAATAAATAACGTATTACTGTTAAGACTATATGCCCGTTTCCGAACCTTAATAAAAAACTAACAGTTACTTATTTTTATTTCACATAGTTTTTTGTAATTTTAAAGATTGTTATTATTTGAAGATAATAAAGATAGCATGCGGTGAGGAAAAGGTAGTAGCACCAATTACCGACAGAAGCTAGTGATCGTCATTTTTTTCTGTGATCAATGAAATAAGAGTGTATAGCCCGTTTCTGAGTGTGATAACATCGAGCTAAAGACGCTTGGTGTTACCATGTTTAATGATCGGTTTATTCTGATTTTCATTCATCACGGAAGGGCATGTCGATCATTGGTTCCTGTCAGTCATTGGTGCTACTACATATTTTTTATTTCTTTTTCTTACTGATGAAAGTGGTCCTTATTACATGTGGTTGCGTTGTAAAAGGTGTTGATGGAGGTGCCGCCGTTGGTGTGCGAATCGGATCTACACTGCGCGCAGACTGCGCTCGCGTTGGTGCGCGGCGCGTGTCTGCGTTGCCCCGCCGCGCTCACGCAAGATGCGCGCCAAGCGCTCACGCCCAACATACTGGCGCTCGCCAAGTCGCCTCTGCTACAAGGTAATCATAATGTAGGTGCTGCCGGGTGTGACAGTCGGATCTACTCTGCGTTCAGACTGCGCTCGCCCAGACTAGTGCGCGGCGCGTGTTTGCGTTCGCCAAGTCGCCGCTGCTACAAATTAATCATAATGTAGGTGTTGCCGGGTGTGCCAGTCGGATCTACTCTGCGGCCAGACTGCGCTCGCGTTGGTGCGCGGCGCGTGTCTGCGTTGCTCTCACGATTGACGCCCGCCAAGTACTGCTGTTGCAAGGCAAAATGCAACACATACATACACATACAACTTCAACCGTGCAGTATTGTAAATAAAAAATTGGCTCAGGTGAATTTGCAGTTGAGTTTGAGTGGTGAAGATGTCAATGTCATGATGAGTTTCTATTCTACCATAAGAGAACTAATTGAATTTCATGCCCCAGAAATGAAAGCTCGTAATAAGAAATATCCGATATGGTTCTCAAATACTTTGATTAAATTAATACGCGAATGCGACAAAATAAGATCACGCTCAAAAAAATATGCAAACCCAAGAGATCTTGTGGAACTAAAATGCGCCAGTAAGAGTAGGAACACTAGTGAAAAATGCCATGCCAAAGTATCTAAATAATATCCAAAATAAAATAACCCGTAATTCCAAAATCATATGGACATACGTCAAAAATTTGCGTGGTGATAGTTCTGAAATTCCCAAAGAACTTTACTTAAATTCTGAGACTGCTAGCTTCGGTGACGCAGTGTGCTATCTGTTTGCGAAACACTTTTCCGAGGTATACTCTTATAGCAACCGGGGCCAGTCAACGGAAAACGCTGTATCTTGTGACATGTACCCGCAGCTCTTTTTGGGTAGCATCAGTATTACAGAACGTATGGTAGTGAAAGTTATCTCAAGGCTAGGATATAATTATGGGTACAGGCCCAGATGGAATTATTCAGAAAACCTGTAAATATATCGCACCTTCTCTAAAGATTCTTTTTTCAGCTTCTCTCAGTACTTCTGTTTTTCCGAATGCACTGAAAGAAACTAACATAGTTCCAATGCTCAAAAAAGATTGTTAGTAATTACAGGCCGGTGTCAATTTTATAATGCGATTCAACTAAGAATTAGGACCGACTGGGCGCCATATTTTGACGTCATAGCTGTCAATTCAAACTAAATAGGTAGAGTGAGCAAAAAAAATTGCTATTTAAAAAAACTTATTTACTAAGATTAAGTGAGACAAAACATCAGATTTTTTAATAAAATTAATTTACTAAGGTTGAGAAAGAACACAACCGATTTTTAATAGTATTTCTTTATTAAGACGTGTGTGAATAAGGCATTAATAATAATCTAGCTCTTCAATTTCGCTCATCTCTGCATTACCGTCGGAGAAGTTATGACTGCAGGTCACATACGAACATGCATCATATATGTAAACGAAAGTTTTAAATCGAGTTTTTGAACTTACCATAAAGTGACATTTGGTTGACGATTTAGGTTATCAACCATTCATAGCCAAAGCTCAATAAATGAAAAAAAAACAACTAATATAAATTATCAACATTTGTTATTGTTTGTTTGAAAATGTTTGGTTTTTATTCTAGAATCAGCTGAGCGCTAAAAAGTGTTCCGAGATTTTTTTGCAAATCGTACTTTTCAAGCGACATTTGACAGATGGAGGTCATTGGCTTTCCTATTCTTATTTGAATCGCATTATAGTTACTTTTAGCAAGATATTTGAAAAAATCATTCGCCCTTTCTTAAATGCATTGCCCACTGCAAAACGTTCCACAGCAAGAGTCAATATGGTTTTTGTCAGAAAAAAGAACGGTGGCTAACCTTATATGTTACACGAATCAGTTAAGCAAATTAATCAACTCCGGTGGTGAGGGGGTGGTGACTCTATTTACACAGACTTCAGCAGCGCGTTCGACAAGGTGGACCATAATATTTTAATCTACAACTTGACCTGTGCTTTTGTGTTTTAAATCATATTTAAAAATATCGGGTGCTTAGGGTGTTTTTAACGGTTATACATCGGTTTCACGGCAACCTCAGGAGTTCCTCATAGCTCTATCCCGGGTCCTGCACTATTTCTAATTTTTGATAATGACATACCTGAAATAGTTAAACATACCAAGTGCTTGATATTTGCTGATGGTTTGAAATTGTATCGGCCAATAAGGAGCCAAGATGATGTAATTATTGCAAAACGATCTTGATGCAGTACAAGAATGGTGCCATTCCAATAAAATGATACTCAATGCGGATAAATGTTTTGTAATTAAGTTTACGAAAAATAATATGGTTCACACCATAGCATATTCAATTGACTCCAAGCAACTATCTCAGTCAAAGCGATTCGTGATCTAGGTGTCATATTGGATAAAAAACTCACTTTTGTAAACCACGTTGACGTTATTATTAATAAAGCGTGGAGAATTTTGGGTTTTCTGAAAAGAATTTGCAAGTATTTTCATAATTCAACTGCAATTTTTTGCTTGTACAGTTCTCTCTTTCCCACTGTTTTGCAATATGCCTCTTGCGTATGGAATCCACAATACAAAATTCATAAATAAAGAATAGAACGAATCCAGCGACAGTTCACAAAATTTTTGCCATTCAGAAGTCGTAACTGTCCCTAAATGTACCTGATATGCTTGCTAAAATTATATTCACAGTAACAAGACGAATTCCACGTTATCCAATCTTGCCATTTCCAAAACCGTTTTTCCGAACAAGATAGTAGCACCCCTAAGTCGATTGATGGAGACGTGTAACGAAAAATCCGATGACATTGATATCTTTCCTAGCATTGAAAAATATTGTTTTTTCTATTAAGTAACAATTAACTTACCTCACATAAATATTTGAGAAATAATTTTACGAGACTAATGTTGCGCCAACAAATGTATAGAAATTGCTGTATGCACCTTAAAAAATAATAGACACCACTTTTAATTCCTATTATAACTTTATTTATGTATGCAATAAAGTTGAATTTGAAATAGCAACTCAAATAGAGGTAGAATGAAAAGACTTGTACACACAAATGTACAAGGTCTAACTTACTAAAATTCTGTCTTGTTGATTATAAAGGCTTTTGATTTAGAATTCTGTCTGTAATGATACGTATATAAAAAATAAAATGTTTACATACAGGTGGCGCTCTAAAGGCGATGCTGAGCGTATTGAGCGCTCTCGTAGCTGCAGACGTTGCGGGTTGCTCGCGTCGGGAACTGCTCGCTTTACTAGTGGCGCCAGTACACAGAGCCGCTGATCACGCGAATTCAGCTCACCACATTAAACAGGTACCTATAGTGCGACTTATACACCACTATTTACATAAATTTAATAGTAAATATGGTCAACAAATGCTACACCAAACGTGATGTCGTCGATTTTGGCAATGTTAACATTATAATGCCAGCAATTTTCATGGCATTTTGTATTTGTTATTTGTTAATCGTAGTGGAACACTCGGTTGGAACGAAGTTAGAAAAATATATATACCACCCGCCAATACGCAATGAGCCCGCGTGGCGAGTAATAGTCCAATCTCCCTAGTCCATAAAAACGTATCTTACCAACCCTCTACCCATCCCTTATGTAATTATTACCCAAGGGAACTTTCATACAATTTTATATTATGATTTCATTTACACACACATACTCGAGCCTCGACTTCTTCCGTGCGACTGAGTAATAGGTGATGGCGTGGACGCGCGCACGATCATCGGCACGCATCCTTTTGATGTTCCGACAATTTACTGATTACTTACGATTACATGACGCGACGAAGGCCACTCATGGACGATTATACCCTCTACACAATCGCCCATCATGGGCCATTGTGATTTCCAAAAGGATTGCCAAATCAATCGCCCATCATGGGCCATTGTGAATAGGGGCCGTCAAAATAAACAACATACATCACCAGGCCTTCCACTCGCTGCCGAAGTGTGTGGCCGCAGTTGTGTGTACGGGCGGTTCCGACGTGCTGGACGCATAATTATGTTTATCTACTCTGAAACAATAATACAAAGATTCTAAAACTGAAAACAAAATGCTTATGACAAACATTACGTACAGGCCAAAAATAATAAAAAAAAAGTTTAATTACGATACAGGTCTTGTATGGACACCTGTAACATAATATAACTTTTTAATCATAACGATACACCTATAATACAACCTCCAGCTGGACCAAGGAGGTTGAACCTCTACTTTAAAAAGGTTTCAATGAACGAGTTCGCGACGACGCAACACGCATGCGCAATCGATGTTTGCACCTTGGCGCCAACATTTGACATTTATTAAATCTTTTCCATATTTAAACAAATTTTGGTTTTGTTTGTAAAATACATAAGTTTTTGTGTAAAACATGACTGAAAGCGGGGATAGTGGTGATTGTACACCACCAGACATTCTGGAAGCTGCGTCAAACATGACCATGAACCTGTTGCCGGCGAAATCTAGGAGCAACTATAATAAATGTTACCACGAATTCATGGAATGGAAAACGAATAAAAATGCTACATCATTTTCTGAAAATGTGTTGTTAGCGTACTTCCAAGAGTTATCTGAAAATTATGAAGTGTCAATAATGTGGGTTAAATACTCCATGATTAAAAGTACACTCAATATTTACAACGAAGTTGACATAACTAAATATAGCAAGCTGATTGCATTTTTGAAACGAAACTCATAAGGATATAAAGGGAAAAAGTCCAAGACTTTTACAGCAGAGCAGATAAATAAGTTCTTAAATGAAGCCCCAGACACATTATATCTCTTCACAAAGGTATTTTAGTTGTTTATCAGTTAACCATGTACATTTTTTTTGTTAATATTGAGTTAATTTACCGTAATATATATATATATATATGAGTTGTTACAGATTGCACTAATTTTTGGTATAATGGGTGCTTGCCGACGGCAAGAGTTATACAACATACAATTCAAAGATGTTGCAGTCTTCGAAACTACACTATTGATCAAATAAGTAAAACTAAAACCAAGACGGACCGCTCTTTTACCGTTACTGGGAAATATTATGAACAATGCAAAAAATACATGGAGCTACGACCAACTGAGTGCAGCAATTACAGTTTTTTTCTAAACTATATTGCCGGAAAATGCACGACGCAGAGAGTTGGCATTAACAAATTTGGAGCTTTAGGCAAAGTTATTGGCAGCTGTCTTCAACTTACCGACCCCGAATTGTACACAGGACACTGCTTTCGCCGAACATCTGCGACCTTGCTAGTTGACGCTGGTGAAGATATAACGGCACTAAAGGGACACGGTGGCTGGAAGTCAACGACAGTTGCAGAAGGCTATATAGATGATTCAATGACTAACAAGATCGCTGTATCCAATTCAATACTTAACAGTGTTGAAAATAACAGAAATGAGGTCAACATTAACATACCTTCTCTTGAGTACCTCCAATAATGCTTCCTGTCCAGTTCAAATTCAGTTTCATAATTGTAATATTCAGAACATCAATAATTATTACAAGTAAAAATAAATTTGTTGTTATATTCAGCGTTTTATTTGCAATATTGTTTTACGTATTATAGTATGAGAGTAGATAAAGTAGTGTATGACACTGTACATAACTTGGTCTTATAACACTCGTGTGATACTATAAAAAAACTCATGTTATAAGAACCCTTATTATGTAACAGTATCATAAACTACTATTCCAATACTCGCGCTCGTGTCAAACAGAATGAACAATAAACATCACCAGGATTTCTACTCGCTGGCGAAGTGCGTACCGCGGTAGTGTGTGTGGGCTATTCAGACGTGTTGGACACGCGACTTCTTACCAACTATCCCACGCGTATGTTCTCACAGCGCGCGTGTGACACGCACACTAAATCAAAAATTACATTACCAGGCCTTCCACTCGCTGGCGAAGTGCGTGGCCGCGGTAGTGTGTGTGGGCCGTTCGGACGCGTTGGACACGCGACTTCTTGCCAATTATCCCACGCGTATGTTCTTACAGCGCGCGTGTGACACGCACACTAAATCAAAAATTACATTACCAGGCCTTCCACTCGCTGGCGAAGTTCGTGGCCGCGGTAGTGTATGTGGCCCTCGGACGCGTTGGACACGCAACTTCTTGCCAACTATCCCACGCGTATGTTCTCACAGCGCGCGTGTGTCACGCACACTAAATCAAAAATTACATCACCAGGCCTTCCACTCGCTGGCGAAGTGCGTGGCCGCGGTAGTGTGTGCGGGCGGTTCGGACGCGTTGGAAGTGGTGCGCGGCTTCTTGCGCGACGCGGCGCACCCGCCCAACGATCCCACGCATATGTTCTCACTGCTCGCGTTAGCGGAAATAGGACGACACTTGTGAGTATATTTTTTAAAAGAGTTTTAGTAACAAAATAAGGATGTGGTATTGAAAAGGGATCATTCATGATTTTTAAGACCAACATCCTTTGTGGAAATGCTGTTACTACTACAACCACTTTTGGGAAACATATTTATCCTTCACATTTTCAAACATTTGATACCCATTAAACCTTAACTTAAGTCGTACAATGATATACATACATGCAATATACATTTATTGTATTACATTATTTTGTTTTATTTTTTCCTACCATTTCTAGAGATCTGAGTTCCATTCCGAACTTGAAGGAGGTGCTTCTGAACTCGTTCACTCCGTCGTCTGAAGAAGTGAAATCAGCCGCGAGTTACGCACTGGGATCAGTGGCTGTGGGAAACTTGCCCGAGTTCCTGCCATTCATACTCAGGGAGATCGAGGCGCAACCAAAACGGCAGTACCTTTTGCTACACTCGCTAAGAGAGGTTAGTGTTTATTTTACTCCGACGGCTGAGAAAGTAAAGTCAGCCGCGAGTTACGAGCTAGGTTCAGTGGCCGTGGGCAATTTGCCCGAGTTCCTGCTATTCATACTCGGGGAGAGGCGCAATCAAAACAGCAGTACCTTCTGCTACACTCGCTAAGAGAGGTTAGAGTTTATTCTACTTCGTCGTCTGAGAAAGTGAAGTCAACCGCGAGAGACGCGTTAGGATCAGTGCCCGTAGGCAACTTGCCCTAGTTCCTGCCATTCATACTCAGGGAGATCGAAGCGCAACCTAAACGGCAGTAACTTTTGCTACACGCGCTAAGAGGGGTTAGTGTTTATTTTTCTCCGTCGTCTGAGAAAGTGAAGTCACCCGCGAGTTACGCGCTAGGATCAGTGGCCGTGGGCAACTTTGCCGAGTGTCTACCATTCATACTCAGGGACATCGAGGCGCAACCAAAACAGCAGCAGTACATAATGCTACACTCGCTAAGTGAGGTTAGTGTTTATTTTATTATATCTTCCGAGAAAGAGAAGTCAGCCGTGAGTTATGCGCTAAGATCAGTGGCCGTGGGCAACTTGCCCTAATTCCTGCCATTTATACTCGGGGAAATCAAGACCAACCAACAAAAGCAACCACAACGGCAGTACCTTCTGCTACATTCCATCGTCTGAAGGGGTAATGTCAGCTGTGAGTTACTTAGCGCTCAAGAGCTGGGTTGATCTGAAAGGACATTGCTCGTTCCCCATACATTGAATGCCCCAGAACGCACAGCAATGTGAAAATGTTAGTTGTGTTCGCATCATTCATAAACTCGCATTAGGCATTTGTTGAAATACGGGCAACTTGAGGAACCGTGGCCTATTACGGAATGTATTAGATTTTGAGGTTATAATTATTATACTTAATCATAAACGAGGTACACTTTTATGTCTTCTGAATAAATTTATTGTTTACCTCTATGCAAGCATTTAAATAACATGAATTTAATAAACACAAAATGCAATTAATAATAAATGCTTATATTTATATCGATTTATGAGTGTTGGCAGTTGGCATCTATGATACCTTTAAGTACCTGTTTAATAAATAATAGATTTCTTTTCAAATGAAATGTTCAAAGGCTTTCTATTTACCTGTTTCTATATTTTGTTATTGGTAATTAGGTATGTACCTGGTTATCATTATGATTTTCATGAAAATAAACAGGAATTATATGGGATGGGATTATATAATATCGTGATATAATATCAGAAATTATCTATCTATAAATATAATGTTAATACCTAGTGATCAGTATTATTAGTATTATTAACTAGGGAGGGTAGGCACGTAGTTCTATTCTTATGTTGATAAATACCTATGGTCGCGTATATTGCATTTATTAAGGCTATCTATTCAAAATTGCATAGAATTGAATTAAAAAAAAAAACACTTATTTAAAATCATTTTTTCAACCTCATTAGCTGAAACTTTAGAATTTAGATGAGAAAGTCTCTTAAGGATCTAAAGATGACATGTCAGCAAATTGTGTAGTACCTAGTTACAGCTATAATTAATTGATAATAAAGTAAAAATAATAGAAAAATTATAGTGAAGGACATTCGTTTGTGCATGCTGGGTCCAATTTCGTCGATGTCCTTTACTTTTTAAAGATTGTCTTTAAAAGTGTTATTAGATATGTATAAGTACAAATACTATTCACCGAAACAAAGCGAGAGCGGGTCACTAGTATAAAAATGTAAGATCCTACTACTAATGTTATAAATTTGAAAGTTGGTTTCTTTTGTTACTAAATCATGCAAAAACTGCATGAAATTTGGTACGCATATAGTTTATGACCTGGATTGAGACATAATTATGATACTTTTTCCTGAGAAGTGTCAGATTCCTGTGGGATTCTCAAAAAAACTAAAGTTAACGCGGCTGCTAGTATTGAATAATAATTAAATGTACTTATTTTTTATTTAGATTATTACGTGCGAATCATGTACACCAGAAGGCGTGGAAGCATTGAGGCCCTTCATACCAGAAATATGGGTTCAGCTTTCAAAACATTGTCAATGTGCAGAGGAGGGCTCAAGGAATGTCGTAAGTATTGTGGAATTCACATTGTACATACATACCAAAAAATCAGTCTAGGTTTTTACAAGAGAGTCATAACAAAGTACCTTGGAACATATTGTCTCAACAACACATTCTTTATCTTCGGTTAGACCTAAGATATTCGCAGGAAACAATGGTGAAAGGTTTGTTATATAGAATATGTTGCTAATTATTTTTAAAGGAACTTTTTTTTTCTACTTCTGATGAAAGGGAAAACGTCAAAAAGCTAGGCGTGACGTATTAGTAATAAGCACATCACCAGTGTGAGGGAAATAGAATATCGCTCCTTTATTTTATGACTGATTATAATGACATTTTCACTTACGCTAATTTAAACTTACGCAACTACCCAATCATCTCCAAAAGTTAACTGTCTATGGCGTTGTCCTAATTGGCAACGATCATACGATGACAGGATGCGTTGTCGTCGTGCGATGATTTTCAAACATGCAGATTTCTTCGGAAGCTTCCTTATTACATCTCGTAAGCACAAGCATTGTTGAATAACGATCATACGATGGGTTTTATTGTACGATCAATGCAATACACCGGTCTCTTTTGAATGGCCCAATTGGTCGCGCGTCACTGTACGAGCACAGCAACCCATGGTGCACGGGACGAGTGGGGCGAGGGGCACCACTGGTTAAAGCAAGATGAAGGTTTCAGGTTCGCATAGTGCTTGTTCACTTTAAAACGCGCGGGCGCGGCGGTGGGGGGTTTTTTTGAGTGTGTTTGCTGTTTATCGCAGATGACCGTTACAGCATTACCGAGTTTGGGGACGGCGAGATCCTAAGGCGACCTCAAGCTGAGAATTGGCGAGTGCCTCTAGAGGTATTCCAGGCGGATGGCATCTCCCCACGGGGAAGTCTCATTTCCATCTGGAGCCTCTAGACCACTCGAACCTGATGGGGTCGGCTCAGCTAGAGGGCGTCTCTGACACTAGAACGTTGGCTCTAGTAAGCCATTGTCGTGGGGGTGGCGGTGGGTGCGGGCGCGGTAGACATTGCGAGCTCGTGTTGACATTAGCCGCCAGGCGTTTGCGCGATTGTGACGTGTTATCAGAGGTCCAAAAATGGCCGACGATTTATATTTCAAACCGAAAATTCAGACCTTAAGTGGGAGATGATATAAATTAGAATTGGTGTGCTCGAAATTAATAAACAGAGAGACCGGTACGATGAATTTCATACTTTATATAGTAAATAGAGAGAGCAACCTTCGAGATTTCTTTCCATAGCTTATTAAGAACGTTTTTGTTCATATGATGACTTTGTTTACTTTGCCAAATTATATTTTTGACATTGTCGCGAGAGCGTCGCGCGCTTGGCGCTACTTTGTCCGCTATTTAGACCGGACGTGCGATTCGTATGTAGACACTTGTATATCACGTCATATGTTTGACATATTGTGACCGCGCCCGCGAGTCAACGTTACAAGTGCTAGGGTCTGCAGATTAGGCGACATATCGCCTATTAGGCTATCTTGGGTACTAGCATGGCTACGATTTTTTTTAATGGCAATTTATTGCCTTTAGGCTACAGCATCGCACGATGGATCTCGCGTGATCTATTAGAACACCTCTGTTCAATCATCGTAAGATTATTTTCATCGCACGATGAAAGCGCATCGCGTCATTGTACGATCGTCGTGGCCAATTGATAAGCTTTTACAATCTTTATGCTATTGTAGCAGCTATACTCTTTTCAACTTCCTCTGACAAAAGGGGAGTTTTTGACGCGATTTTATCGAGTGCGGTTGGCGTCTTATTTTAATGATTCTTAAATTCGATCATAGTGGATATTATGAAATAAAATTGGTGTGATTTTGTGTTACAAAGCAACTGAAGTATTAGTGGAATCTTTAAAATATACGCTATTCCGGTCAAGTGGACGTGAGAACTTTATTGTAGTGTTGGCTACCACACAGAAGCTTATCGAAAAAGCCAACTCGATCCATTTCGTGCCAAACATTCCATTAGAATGCGGCACACCGGTATTCTTATGTAAAAAAACGAAGATTAACAACTTAAGACTAGGCTGTATGGGCATTGTTCCCTTTGCCTTCCCTAAATAGGGAGAATCTTAAAAATCTGACAAAAGGTAAACAAATCATAAAAAGGTTTTTCAACAGGTCGAATTTTATACGTATATAAAATCATAATAAAAAATATGACTAAAAAACCTAAAGCTGTAGCTAAAAACCCTGTGTAGATTCCCAAACTTTGAACGCATAATAATACTACTATATTTTGTTGAAATCTGAAAATTTGTAATCAGTATTATTACACAGGCCATCTTACTATCAATAATAGTACATTACTAGTAATAGACAACTTAGGCCACAAGTATCGTATACTATTTTATAGCAAGTGTGACATAAACCCGCCCCGGACGCGGGCAAGAGGGGGGGGTTATGCTATATTGTTATGTTTAGGTATGCGATTAGTGTTTTGAAAGTAAAATTCATGTATTGCAATCACAAAGAATTGCAATACAGACTGCAAGTCAAACTCTGATATCTTTGAAAGTATATTTCAAAAGGAAAAAATCAAATATCATTACAACAAAATAGAATTTCAATGTATCCATGAACGTTTATTCCTTGATTGGCATAGTAAAGTTAAGTTACGCGTATCGTAATGTACTAATTCTACATGAGTGAAGTTAGTCAATTCATTTACACACCGTGCAGAAATAGGCAACTTAGGTCACGGAAAAGCGTGCGTAAAGTGCGGGTTTAGGTCACACTGTGCTATAAAAATGTTTTACAAACATTTGTTTGTTTACTTGTGTCTCAGAGGAAGTTGAATAGATTATAGTGTCTTTTATTATTTCAATTTAAGTTCAGCATGGAAACAATAATTTATTTTTGTCTTTTACATTACAAACCAAGACATGTATTACAATGAGAATTAATTATTTTTAGGTCGCGGAATGTTTAGGAAAGCTGTGCCTGTTGGAGCCGCAAGATTTGCTGCCTCATTTGAAAGAATTCCTCAAATCTCCAGAACCGTTGACTAGAACAACTGCTGTAACAGCCGTGAAGTTCACCATATCCGATCAGGTTTGATCTTTTGATTTGTGTGTCTCCTTTATTAATCAGTTAAATTTGAAAATTATGCTATTAAGTTCGGATTCGATATATTTAATTGATAAACGTATACATACGTACTGAGTTTGCTGACTGTATTTTTTTTACATAGTCTGCTTATTATTTAGTCTTAAGTTGTACAGCATATGACCTGAGCTTTGAAAAGAGTCAAAGGCGTGAAGTCGCCATGGATTCGATGGTTACCTCGAAGTTGAGGTCATTAGACAACTTCTTACTAAAGAGCTCGAGACTATCGATTACAGACAGAAGTACTTCGGTAAGCAGGAGGCATGGTGAAAGGACTCTTATTGCGGTGAATAGACATGCTTGCGTTTTGGAGGCATTAAAGCTGACGAGATTACTGTCATCCTGAGATCACTGGATCTCCCAGTGGGATGACAGTAATCTCGTAGTCTAGCATCGGGTTCTTTCGTTCTACCATGACCTCTTTCACCAGTTGCATTTTTTCACCGCTGGCTCCCGCACTAGAGGCGTTTCTCTCCACGAGAGTACTGTTAGCATACCCAACAATTCCTGATATTAAGAGGTCATTGATGTGTAGTAGGAAATATGTCGCAAAGAGAACCGGAGGCCTACTCCAATTCAACGAAAAACTAAATTTCGATCGTAGCTTCTTACGTTTCTAACTATGTTTCATATTAGTTTCTAATTATAATAAAGAATAGATTCAGGTTTCAGAATCAGATTCTCTAAGTCTACTCAACGAAAATGTGAATATGATAGGATATCTTTCAAATTAAGTATATCAACAAATTGACAAAATTAAATTTCGTTTGAACTTCATTACCAAAAGTTCGTTTCGGAAAAAAAGAGAAGTCCCCTAGACCCCTAAGGAACGCCGGCGTCTATAGCCATAAGGTCAGGGCAACAGCCATCAATGACCACTCTGGTTAATAGTTCGCTCAGGAAATCAGCTTTTGTTACGTCAGTTTCAATACAAAATTTCTTGACATTTGACGCGTATCGAGATCGAATTCAACTATTTCAATTCGATATTGGTTCGTCCTAAGGGTACTGAACCTACTCTGTGCATCGGTACAGTTTATAATTATTTGATTAGTAGGTATTAAGAGCAGAGTAAAGAAAGAATTGTCGACGTGAGCATAAGGTCTCTTTTTAACATCAGACAAAAAACTCTTTTTAGTAATAAATATAATAATAAATTTTACAATTTATGCTTTCCTGGGCAATCATTTAAAGAAATTGTAAATAATGCTACAACGCAAAAGGTAGATAGTTTAACCAACTTAATCATTTTATCTGGTGATGGCTCAGACATTAGAAAAAGGGACATACTGAATTCTTTTAATGTGTTATTAAAGTTACAAGGTGAAACTAACTGCAAAATATTGATCAGTCCTTTCCATTATGCTAAAAACCTGACCAGGGATGAAACTTAGCGCATTTTTGATTTAAATACATACTTGTTTAATCTGATTAATCGTCATAGTGACGTCATTTTGTTTTTTGACATTAATAAATTTATTAGTAATTTTAAGCTGACTTCAGATACTATGTATCTTTCAAAAAAATCTCAAGACACAATTTGCTAATTTGTAAGCTTTTAATTTACAAATTGTAAATAGTTGTTTTAAAAGTGACATTAGTACTTGTACTAATTCAAATCTTTTGATAAATTGTAGTTCCACAATAAACTCCATAGATTTAAACTGAAGCGTATGACAAAAGCTAAGCCCCATTGTGTCAATATTATTCACCAAATATCCAGGGCTTGGCCGGCAAAGACTTAGAGTTAGAATTATTAGCTAAAAGTCATGAAACTCATATCATGTGCATAACTGAACACTGGCTGCAACAACATAAAATGTCATTTTATTTCAACAATTTTCAACTATGCAGTGCATTTGTACGCACGATAGCTATTCATCTTTCTTCTTATATTTTTGTAAAAGATCATGTGAAATGTAAGGAAAGAAAGGACATTGTAAGCCTTTCAGTGGAAGGCCATGTTGAGCTGTCGTGTGTAGAGTTAGTAAATTTTTATATAGTATGTGTATACCGGCCCCCCTCAGGAAACTTTGGTACATTTGAATCAGTCATGGAGGACTCACTAAATAAATTAAAAAATAAATATGTAATAGTATGTGGTGATTTTAATGTCAATCTACTTGAAAATAGCTCTTTAAGTCTTCGGCTAATTACCTTGTTTAAATGTTTTAATTTAAATTTCCAGTTTACTGAATCAACCAGAGTAACATCTCAGTCAGCCATTTGTTTAGACAACTTTTTTTCTGAGTTGGATGCAATTGAAAAGTCAGTCTTTAGTGATATTACTTCCGATCATCTCGGTTTAAAGACAACATACAGTTTCAATGTTAGTACTAAGCCGAACATAATAGAGTGTGGACCTATAACAAATGAGCGCGTAAATAGTTTTAAAAATAACATTAGCGATAAACTTCCTTTAATGCCTTGGACGCATGATGATCCGGATATTTTGTACAAAAATCTTTTCGATTTAATAAATAATGAATTTCAAAATACGTTCACACCGAAAACCATTAAATGTACACAGAGGTTGCAATTCTGTGACTGGGCGACAAGTGGTATATACAGGGCGTCCCACGGGTACCTCACACGGAGGGAAAGTATATTAAATATTGAAGATAGGATATTTTACCGAAAGAAAACATCATTTTATTTTTAATTATAACTAGAACTGCTTTCACAGATTTTTTTGAAATCGCCTGTTAAAACGGGGAATCAAACTCGTGAAATTTCGAAGAACAAAATATGACATGTTTTATGATAACCATCGAAGGAGTTAATCATAACAAATATTTTTTGCTAAATAACAGAACCTTTTAAATGAAAGAAAAGTTATAAAATTGCACATTTTAATAGAAAATATTCAAACAAAAGTAATAAAAAACGAAACGGTGCAAGAAAAAATATTAATTTTATGTATCAAATTAAAAAAAAAACAATGACACTCTATTAATGTTTTCTCTGCCTGTCGATTTCATTATCTTTGCGTGGTGAATGTAATAATACGTCTGAATTAATTTTGTAACTCCTGCACACTGTCTTACCGGTTCTTGTATACTACATCTTTTACATAACCCCACAAAAAAAAGTCCAGTAGGGTTAGATCTGGGGATCTCGCTGGCCATTTTATTTGTTCATAAGAACTGATGCAGGAAAGTGTTCATTAAGAAACTCGGCAGTTCTCCTACTGTTATGAGCTCCATTTTGCTGGAAAATGAGATTTCGTCGATTTGCATCAGGAAGATTTTTGATCTCACCTCTTAAAATATTAGGTATTTCTAGATATCTTTCCGTATTTAGATTCCCTTTGTAAAAATGTATTAAGAGAACCCGGTTTTTAACTAAAATGTAAAACACAAAAAAAAAAGAACAGTACCCTAACACGAACCAATATCGAATTCGAATAGTTTTCGAGTGCGAAATGTCATTGTCAAATGTGTATTGATTTTTAGTTCTCGATACGTACTTTGTGGCGGTGCTGTATAAGTTTCCATACAAAATTTGACATTGACATTTCACACTCGCAAACTATTCGAATTCGATTATGGTTCGTGCTAGGGGTACAGACGCTTGAAAATGTATGTGTTCCATTTTCGAATTATTATTTTTACAAATTTCAGCCAATCGCATTGTAACTGAGTTCAAAAATAAATGCATACGTACTACAGTTTGTATATCACTTTTTTATTTTTTTCACGTAATAAGACATTCCTTTTATTTAAAATGCTATTTAGTTCTGTTATTTAGTAAAAAATAATCTTTATGAAACCCTTTCGACGGTTATCATAAAATATGACGTGTTTTTTTTTCGAAATTACACGAGTTCCCAGTGGTAGCAGTCGATTTTTAAAAAAGCTGTGAATGCAGTTCTAGTTATTATTAAAAATGAAATGATGTCTTCTTTCAGTAAAATATCCTATCTTTAATATTTAATATACTTTCCCTCCGTGTGAGGTAGCCGTGGGACGCCCTGTATAAGAGTAGAACAAGGCTGTATGAGCTATATAGAATCAAAGAATAGAACCAGGACCCTGAGTTTATTAACTATGTTAGAAAGTATTCCAAATTGTTTAAAAGCATATGTAATACTGCAAAGTCAAATTTTATTAGGGATAAAATTACAAAATTTAATAATAAAATAAAGACCACTTGGGATGTCATTAAGCGCGAAAGTGGCAAGTGTAAGCCTCGTGAAAATAGCATGGTTCTTAAAATGAATAATAATATAATAAAATCGAAACATGAAGTCGCAGATATTTTCGATAAATTCTTTATGAATATACCATTAGAAACTACTTCCAACTTGGACTCATCGTCTGATACTGCTACATCTCTGTTACAAAAGTACGTACCTCCGTGTGGTTTATTATTTAATTTCAAGCACCTTAGTTCTTTTAAAATAAAGTTTTCCATTCATTAAAAATGAAAAATGCATCTGATTTATGGGGTATATCTGTCAAAGTCATAAATAATATTATACATTCTATAGCCCCTTACCTAGCTGATATTTTTAATTCATGTATAGATCAGGGAGTATTCCCTGATTTTATGAAATTCAGTAAAATCATACCTTTAATTAAGTCTAGAAATTGTAAAGATCCTAGCAACTATAGGCCAATATCTATATTACTAGCATTGAGTAAAATCTTTGAAAAAATAATGTTAGAACAGTTGTTGACTCATTTTAACATTAATAAACTTTTACACAGAGCGCAGTACGGTTTCACTAAAAACCGTTCCACGACTGATGCTGGGGCCACTATGCTAAAATATTTAATGCTTGGGAAAAGTCGCAGAATGCTCTTGGGGTTTTCTGCGATTTATCTAAAGCCTTTGATGCGTTAATCATCAAAGTTACGGAAATTAAATCATTACGGCATAAAAGATTCCGTACAAAAATGAGTGCAATCATATTTAACAGAAAGGACACAAATAGTTGATAT